ATTAAAGGATAAGCACACATCTTCATACCCCTCCCTGGTAACAGAAGAATGAACAACATCAAGTGGGAAATACACAATAGAAAAATACTTGAATTAGGCCAATCATGAGTTATTAACTAATTGGGAAAGGCCACTTGCAAGCAGTTTGGATGAACTACTTTTAAACATGAGCTAGGTTTCTCAAAAGTGCTTTTGGTGGACTTGGTTGGTCAGTGGAACATTATGCTGGTGTCAGTCATGGGCCAGTGTATTGTGGCCAGAGCGATAACTTTGGTATCTGTCTCTGAAACCTTAACTACTTTCAAGAGTAGGCTTAAAACTTTCTCCTTTAGTAAAGCTTAAAGGCTCAGGTTATCCTGAGCTATCTCTATAGCTATGCTGCTATAGGCTATGGCTACTGGAGGACAGAGGGAACACCTTACACCATTCTGCTTCATTACATCTCTGTTCTTCAATTATGTAGTATTTGTTAGTTCAACAGCCATTCTTAAGTTGTCAGTTTTTGTAATTTTTCGTGATTCTGGTAGGCTGTGATCCATGCTGTAGAGAAATATCAGCCAGGGTACTGCAATCAATATCTTCCTAGACATAAATATAGTCTCAACCTTTACTGTGACTAGCTGAATTCGCTCTCTTTGATCCCTTTTGGCATGAAAACTGGCTCAAAGCTCATCTGCTTTCTTTCCCAGAGAGCCACATGTGCAGCTAAAATACTGTTACTTTTTCAGTCATAGAAAACATTCATGGATCAGTGCTTCTGTCTCCTTGACCTACAGTTAGCCTCGGCAGATGGCCCGTCACAACAAGCCTGGTTCTGCTGGAGGTTTATTCCTACTAAAAGGGACTTTTTCCTCTCCACCTTCACCGCACGCATGCTTTGTGTGAGAGATTGTTGTGTTAAATTTGCAACACAAAGCAAGCTGCTTTCCAGTGTCTGCAAGCTCATTATCCATGGGAAGCAAATCATGCAAACTAATGATTGGATCCAATCAGCCAAGTTTCCTTAGAAAACTTTTAACCAATCTGACAGTATGATCTGATTGAATGTTTTCTGTTGAGTGTCTTGAGATGACATGTTGGGAATTGGTGCTATATATATATATATATATATATATATATATATATATATATATACACAAAACAAATTGAAACTGAATCTGTTCTGCGAGCTTATTATTTTAAACCTTTTCAAAAATGTGTTTTCATCGCCTCTTTAGAGCATTTATGCCTTTTCAAAAAGTTAAACCCTACCTCAAATGAGCAACAAAAAAACTAAGTAAAGTGATTTGAATTTCAAAGTTTCCTGCATTCTCTTCTGATATATTGAAATGCACAAAAACCATTGGTGGAAACGTGGACATTCACCATATGGTGGACAAGAAGAATCTGGCAGCTGGCTGACTGTCCAGAGTGTGGTTTCCATTCATTTATGGTTTGATTACCTTGCAATAGCTGCCCACCAGCTGACAGGCCTGGGGTTCCAGGCTTTTGAAATTGCTGAGCCCAGTTTGCTTGGAGGAGGTTGCCGTTCATTAGAGCGGTGCAACCCTTCCTTTTGTTCTCTCCACCAGCAAGACTCAACCTTAGCTTCACACTTTCTGGCATTGTAGGGTGTTAAATAGAGTCCATTGCCTTTCATCCTGAGTGTGAAACCTTGGGTTAAACTAGCTGAGGCAACATTTATGTGGCAGGGCCTATTTTGTTAAGTTCAGAGCTGGACGGGTTAGGGTTAATTTCTCCGCTGTAAGCTGAAACACGTTCATGTGGACTTGCTGTGACTGTTTCCCCAATCCAGAAATGTAACTGATCTTTAAACAATGGAAGACATTTGTCTATAGGTAGTTATCCTCTACTTTGGTTGATGTTCAGTACAAGGTTTGAGGCACTAAACAACAGTCAAGCAGTGAAAGCCATCCCACATCAGGTAGAGGAGGCACTCAACCTTGACAGAGCTGACATGTGGAAGACTGTAAGGACAGTCAACCCAAGTAAGGCCCCGGGCCCTGATAACATACCTGTGCGGGTGTTCAAGAAGTCTGCAGGTCAGTTGGCTGATGGCCTCAAAGACATTTTTAACACCTTGCTAGTGCAAGCCATAGTGCCAGCATACTTCAAGTCTGCCATTATCATTCCAGTCCTAAAGAAGCCTCAGGTCCCCTCATTCAATGACTACAGGCCTGTCGCACTTACTACAATCATGATGAAGTGCTTCGAAAGGCTGGTTAAAAAACACATTGTCTCCAGTCTGCCGCCAACATTCCACCCGTTCCAGTTTGCATGGCCCACCGGGACTCCCGTCAGGGGGTTGGGCACCCCTAGGGCCTCGGATCCCTGGGGCCCATGGCCGGATCCACTCCGGGGTGGGTGGCTACTGGCGGCTCTCGTGAGCACCGGCGTTGTGGTGGCTGGGGGGTTTCCTCGGGGCAGTCTCTCCCCCTCCCTTGGTGGGGGGTCAGATTTCCTGGGTTGGCCCGGCACTTGCCTCTGTGCTCTGGGGGGGACGCCTCTTCACAACCACTATTGAGCATTCTTCCTTTGGATAAACTTTACATGCACAAGTGCACTCTCACAAACAACTACAGGTGCTTGGTTCCAGGTACTCAGAGATTCACTTCCATACAGAAAGCCAATATTCTTATCTTCAGCTACCATAGTATACATGTCAGATTAAATACTACTACTTATACTTCAGCGATAGTATTCAGGTGTTACTTTATTGTATGTCTTGTACGTTGTGCGTTGGTTGTGTTGTTCTTTTTATATCTCTTTGCAGGTGATGAAGCAGACTGAAGATCTATCTTTTTCTCCCTTTTATCTCTTCTTTATTTCATCTTTTCTACTTTTTTTCAGTTTTTCCTTTCCTGTTCTACTTACATTGCACTGTCCGTATAATCTGTAATACTCCCTGCATAACTATAATAAAGCTATTTATATGCATAAATCAAGCGGAACACTATGGCGATAGCCGTACTGCTCCACTTGTGAAAGAAAGATCTGTTGGGCTCTTTTTGGCATCAAGACAATTATTCTTATTGCCACAAAAAAAAGGCTTTAGCTCTCACCCCCATGCAAGGGAACGCCGTCTTGCTTGGTCAGCCAGGCCAACAATACCCCCTGATGACCACCTTTTCAGAGGTATAGACCAATATTCGGTATTGCAGGCTAACAAAGAACCCAAATGACTTTCCATTCCTAAGGGGCGGACCCATTTGTCTGGTACAATTTGCATGTTTTCTAAGCAAAAACAAGACTTGGTTTTTGGTGCGCTATATAAAGCCTGGATCTCAACGCCATTTCTGACATTTTGAATTGAAAAAGCTTCCTGGATGGAAAGACACACGTCTTCAAACTTGGAAACAAAGTCCGGTAGTTTGTTTTTTTACATTCTTGGAATGACTATGACCTGGATGACTGAGAATCTTCACCAGCTTTTTGTACCATGTGTTTTTCTCCCACACCGTTTACATTTGATCACTGCTGCAATTTATGAAATGGAAATGTTCTCAAAGCTGTACAAAATGAAATTCATACAAACGACAATAAAAGTTGTCTAATATCAGAATTGTAATCTATTACACACTACTGTTGCTCATTTTACTGAAGAATTTTAGTTATTGAAGGGCAAACGGAAGAGAAGACAACACTGCTGTTCCATTTCTGCATTCTTGTGGTACTAAATGACAGACATTTAAACAAGACTCTGAACACCTTTAGTTGATTTTTAATATCCATGCCTGACTGAGTTGGCTTCCATCAACTTTAGAGGTATGTACCATTATTGTATGAGGCTAAATGGGATTGCATTTTGAGTTTTAATAGATCAAATTGCTTTTTCTCATGGAAAATAAAGCAAAAGTTGACTAAAAAATTTTAATATGTCTGTTCTTAGCGTCACAGGCTGCAAATGAAGGTCATGAGAGATAATGAATTACACCGCTTCCTTCATGGCATAAAGGAAGGGACTGTTGTTTAGAGAAGATCCATCTGGCCATTGAAAGATATAACCTAACAGGAAATGGTCTTGATGAACTCAAGTTGTTTTTCCTCCAAATATTCGTGTGAGAAAGTTCTTTATGTAGGGGTTGGGATAGCTACAAGGGAGAGTATTTGGAGTTGCTGCATAAATGTATGTACTGAGCTTTGCCCAGTCAGAGCTCCATCTCTCTGTCTGAGGACACTAAATTTGAACACTCTTGGAAGACTCTCAGCTTCCTCCTCAACTTCACACTGATATTTCAGAAAGTTTAGAGGAGATTCAGTAGTTTGAATGAATGCTACACATTTTCACATCAGGTCCAATGTTTTTGTGGATTACTGCACACTTTCTAACAACATTTATTTCACTGGCTTGAATGTTAGCCTCTTACACCCTAAGGGGGTATAAATAAATTTCTGCCTGACAAAAACACACAAAAGTAAATAACTTATAGCCTCAAAGCTATTAGATTTAAGAAGAAACTTTTGGTACCTCTGTAAAGGTAAGATGTCATAGAATGGTTTTCTGGTGTCAGCACCATTGTAGCTTTGACCCTGCCTGAAATATTAGGGACAAAATACAAAATATTTTGCATTTTTTGAACCTCGCCAAAATTTTCTTTGAAATAAACATTGCAAAACACTACCAAAATATTATTTATAGCACAAAAAAGTAGTACAGACTTTTAAATCTAAATGTTGTGTAAAAATATACCAAATTTGGACTCAATCAGATGAATCATATTTATTTTAGAATGGTATTAGTGAGAAATTTCTTAGGCGGAGAGGCCATTTTGGCACATTTATCCATAAATGACACCAAACTGTGCCAAATATGTTTTTTACATCAATACTGGGGGTTTGGTAAAATTACGAGGTCACGTAGCAGCTGGACCCGCCGGTGGGTCCGTAGGGTTCAAGGGGTTAGACATTGTGCTATAAGGAATTTGTGTTTACACACTGTATATGAGGTTCCTGAAATAAACTGCACCCTGCAGACCCAACAGCAACCCAACCATTTATCATAAATATAATTTGTTTATTTATGTAAGGCATAGGTATAATTAAGTTAAAATACAGTTATTGTTCAATAAATGCTTTCAGTGATTATAATACACATTTAACAGGAATTTGTTCATAATATTTAAAAAAAATCAGGCCATGAGCTCAATAAACAGGGTGTACTCGTTCAGAAAACATGCCAGTAATCTGAGCCCGTCAACAGGTCAGGAAAGAAGTTGAGTTTGGAACTGCTCAGTCATGGCTGTGTCAGAATACTTCAGTGATATGCTGTAAAACCACATAACTGGGGCTTTGCTGTGATGTCAAACATTGTTTGTAAAGCTGGAGGACCAGAATTTGCTTTGCTTTAAAATATAATTTCTGGCAAACAATGTTAAAACCCCTTGAGACAGAGACTTAGACGGAGCTTTCATATCCTCCCAGGTGACCTCCGGCGATGGTTCAGTAGTTGGAAAGAATGTGTGATATTGATGAAACCAGCAGAACCAGATGGTCCAGAGTGACAGTCATTCTGAATGGGGCCTCTCCCCATCAGCTAGGACTCAGACTCAACAGAAAACCTTTACCTTAAAGTGCATCCAGGAAAATAAAGAGTAGTGTGTCTGTAATTCAAACAGTTTTAAATCCTTCATCTCAACATATTAGGTGGGATTATCAGTTATGTTACAATTGTTGGTGAATTTAGTGATTTTTGATTTTGAAACGTTCTTTTTTTCTAAATCCTTCATTAACAGTCAAAGTGTGGTTTGGCTCTAATAGCGAGCACTGTCAGCATAAGAGGACGAATCCATCTCAAAGTATTCCTCCAGTTGCCACTGCAGCGTCTCAAATGTTGGGCGCTCCTTTTCTTTTTCCTTCCAACAGTCCAACATGATGTTGTGCAGTGGTTTCGGGCAGTTCGCTGGGCAGGACATCCTGTTACCCTTACTGATCCAAGTCACCGCCTGCATGTTTGACATGTCTGGAAAAATAAAAATAAAAAAATGCTGGAACTTCAGTGATGGTCCAACAGAACATTATCCATAGTTAAATGATTTTACAGCAGAATTCTTACTTGGATAAGGCATCTGACCAAAAGTCATGATCTCATACAGCAAGATTCCAAAGGACCAAACATCTGATTTGATGCTGAACTTGTTATCGTGGATAGCTTCTGGAGCGGTCCACTTCACAGGAAATTTACTCCCCTCCTTGGCCTCGTATACATTCTCATTTTCTTTCTACAATCAAGGACAAAAAACAAAAAAAAAATTATTTCACTTTCATTTAAACAACTAAACAAACGTCACGCATAGAGAACAGAACAGGCTGGATTATTTTCTATTATTCATGCATGAATATCACATCCAGGGATCAGAACTACTCTGGATGAAAAGTCATCTAAGCAACAGGCAACAATTTGTGCAAATGGTTGACTGCCAGTCATGGTGTTTGGACATTGTTTGTGGTGTCCCCCAGGGGTCAGTATCGGGGCCACAATTATTTATCCTTTATATTAATGACATCTGCAAAGTAACTAGAATACTTAAATAGGTTTTGTTTGCAGACGATCCTATCATCTTTTGTACAGTTGATCATTAGTTTCAGCTTATGGCTGATTTTAACTTCAAGTTATGTCAACTTTAGATCCGGTTTGATATTAAACTATCATTAAATTTGGATAAAACCAAGTTTATGTTGTTTGGAAACTGCAAAAGTAAAATTAATTTAACCAGACTGATAATGTAACTGTAGAGATAGTCAGGGAAATTAAGTTCTTGGAAGTAATGACAGTAGGATATGCTGGAGACCTCATAAAATACATTCAAACTAAAATATGCAGAAGTATTGCCCATTAACAGCAAAGCTAAACATTTCCTAAATCATGCTGCACTTCATATTCTGTATTGCACACTTATATTACCTTACTTTACTTACTGTGTAGAAATATGGGGTAACAACTGTAAAACATCTCTGTGACCGTTATGCAAACAACAAAAAAAGAGCCAGAATTGTTCATAAGGCAGGAGGTGTAAATGTGGATGGGTCCTTGGCTTTTTGTGTGTATTTGGTCGATTCATTTATTGTTGTTTGCCAAATTGTCTGTCTGAAATAAATTCCTATTCATGTATGTGCTTTTTAAAACCTAATAATACCCGCCTGTTACGTGTTAAGGCAAATTTTTCCCAAGCAGTTTATTCTAACAGGTGAAAATAATTAAGCAAAAACTTACTTTATTTTCAAGTAAATCCAACATAAAATCCCAAACCTACCATAAAAACTCTTGCCAGGCCAAAATCTGCCACTTTGCAGACGTTGTTTTCTCCCACCAGTACGTTCCTGGCAGCCAGGTCTCTGTGGATGTAGTTCTGTTGCTCCAAGTAAGCCATGCCTGATGCCACCTGGGCGGCCATTTCAATCTGGTGTGTGATACGGAGAGTGGCACCTTTGTCCTCTGTTATCAAGATAGAAAAACATGAACAGAATCAGTAACAGTTTAAGTTTTATGTTTAAAGATCAGCCATTGTTTTACAACCATGTCTCTTAATCTGATAAAAATGCAGCTGGTGGTGCTGGCAACAGGGTTTAAAAAAATTTCTGTGGCATCATTGTTTTTCTGACTTTAACAATGTTGAGCAATAGTATGACTTTTTTGAACACTGCTGGAGCAAATTCAATGGAATTCAATTCAGTTTATTTATATGGCGCAAATTCACAGCACACGTCATCTCAAGGCAACTTAAAAGAGACAATTCAACCAGAATATACAGTCAGATTGGTTTAAACCTTTCTATATAAGTAAAACCAGCTGATTGCATTGCCTAATTGATACTTCAGCAATCCCTCACACCAAACATGCATGCAACGACAGTTGGCAGGAACACTTTATTTTAACAGGCAGAAACCTCCAGCACACATATCAAATTGGAGGCTTGAACACACTACAGGGCCATTCAATCCTGCCCCTAACTATGCTTGGCAACAAAGGGCATCTGCTCACACAACATTGAGGAGATCACCTGAACAGAATGCCAAGAATTTTCATTCTTTAACTCCTGCTCAGTTAAGTGGACCTTTTCCCAATCTCACAAACAGACTTCCTTCAACATTTCTCTTTGGGTTTTAATTAATGATTTTGGAGATGGCAGACTGGACACGGGGATCATCCACAGACAAAAGCCTACTGGCTAGGCCATTTGAACACAGACTCATCCAACACACTCTGGGCTCAGCTTTTCTCAGCTTTGGAGACACCTCAGCTTTCAAAAACAGACATCAAAAGAGTTTGCAGGTTTTCCAAAAGCTGCGAAAAGAGTATCCAGCTGAACAATTTGGGATTTTGAAGACATTTTATTTAAAGTATTTACTTTTGTATGAAGCAAGCTAACAAGAATGATGTCCACATGTTACCCAGTGCTGACATGTGCTGTTGCTTATAAAGCAAAAACAAACTAAAGTTTATGCATTTCCTGTTATGCTAACTACATTTGATTACCAAAAAATAAACACTTAGTCATTTCATTTGAGTTCCCTCTTGTTTTCTACCTACTACTTCCACTGTTTCAACAGACCTACACTACAGTTCAAAAGTTTGGGGTCACATGGAAATGTCCTTATTTTTGAAGGAAAAAGCCCTGTACTTTTTAATGAAGATAACTTTAAACTAGTCTTACATTTAAAGAAATACACTCTATACATTGCTAATGTGGTAAATGACTATTCTAGGAGCAAATGTCTGGTTTTTGGTGCAATATCTACATAAGTGTATAGAGGCCCATTTCCAGCAACTATCACTCCAGTGTTCTAATGGGACAATGTGTTTGCTCATTGGCTCAGAAGGCTAATTGATGATTAGAAAACCCTTGTGCAATCATGTTCACACATCTGAAAACAGTTAAGCTCGTTACAGAAGCTACAAAACTGACCTTCCTTGGAGCAGATTGAGTTTCTGGAGCATCACATTTGTGGGGTCAATTAAACGCTCAAAATGGCCAGAAAAAGAGAACTTTCATCTGAAACTCCACAGTCTATTCTTGTTCTTAGAAATGAAGGCTATTCCATGAGAGAAATTGCTAAGAAATTGAAGATTTCCTACAACGGTGTGCACTACTCTCTTCAGAAGACAGCACAAACAGTCTCTAACCAGAGTAGAAAAAGAAGTGGGAGGCTGCGTTGCACAACTGAACAAGAAGAAAGTAGATTACAGTCCCTAGTTTGAGAAACAGACACCTCACAGGTCCCCAACTGGCATCTTCATTAAATAGTACCCGCAAAACACCAGTGTCAACATCTACAGTGAAGAGGCGGCTGCGGGATTCTGGGCTTCAGGGCAGAGTGGCAAAGAAAAAGCCATATCTGAGACTGGCCAATAAAAGAAAAAGATTAAGATGGGCAAAAGAACACAGACAGTGAACAGAGGAAGACTGGAAAAAAAGTGTTGTGGATGAATTAATCCAAGTTTGAGGTGTTTGGATCACAAAGAAGAACATTTATGAGACGCAGAACAAATGAAAAGATGCTGGAAGAATACCTGACACCATCTGTTAAGCATGGTGGAGGTAATGTGATGGTCTGGGGTTGCTTTGGTGCTGGTAAGGTGGGAGATTTGTACAGGGTTAAAGGGATTCTGAATAAGGAAGGCTATCACTCCATTTTGAAACGCCATGCCATACCCAGTGGATAGCGCTTGATTGGAGCCAATTTCATCCTACAACAGGACAATGACCCTAAACACACCTCCAGCTTGACTGTATGGTACGCAAGAAGTGCCCATCCAACCAATCCAACTTGTGGGAGCTGCTTCTGGAAGCGTGGGGGGCAATTTCTCCAGATTACCTCAACAAATGAACAGCTAGAATGCCAAAGGTCTGCAATGCTGTAATTGCTGCAAATGGAGGATTCTTTGACAAAAGCAAAGTTTGATGTAAAACAAAATCTTATTTCAAATACAAATTATTATTTCTACCCTTGTCAATGTCTTGACTCTATTTTCTATTCATTTCACAACGTATGGTGGTGAATAAGTGTGACTTTTCAGGAAAACACAAAATTGTTTGTGTGACGGTAGTGTAGCTAAGGAACATACGTTTCCCTTTCATTTGGAAGGTAACAGAAGGCAACCATGGAAGGCTAAATCGGTTATCTGAAAGGTTTCCAGCTTCTTATTCAAGTAAATTATTTTAGCAAAAAAATTGGTTTACCTCTTAGATTCCCCTTGTAAACTGGTTTGAACCAGTGTTTACAATTTAGCATTTTTGTTGCTAAACTAAGCAACTTTTCAGGCCCCTCTAGCACCTTTATAAAAAAAAAAATGAAATAAAAAAATTTGGCTAGGGCCACATCTAGTAACTTTTAATGGACACTTTGCCAATAACACGTTTAAGCACAGAATCTTGTATGTAACTTGGCAGTTATCCTAAGATCTATCTGCACTGCTCTGAAACCAAGATAGAAAAATAAAAAGAAATCGCAGGGATTCATAAACCCCTGCAGTTGAATTACATGAAATATGAAAATTAGGAGATGTCTTCTAGTGACATTTAGGACAGCCAATTGTGACTTATCTTCATTCCAAACTCTTTCAGATACACTTTGGTTCTCAAATAGAAAATCTTAACTTAACTATGATATGATTTGCATTTTTGTATTAATAATAGTTTTCAATCATTTCCATCTGCTATTTTTCTGTGTATATAGTAGCTACTTGGTTTAACCGAGTTTTCTAGTATAGTCAATAGTTTTATTCTGAAATATGTTTGACTTTAAGTTAAATCATTTTTATAAATTTTATTAATAAATAATCATTTCATGGGTGCAGAATTCACTGATAATAATTTGTGCTCCATTGACACTTATTTGTTGTCCCGACAGCCAGTTGGCCTTGTGTGCACAGAACACCACAAGAAATTACGAAACTTATTTGTTTAAACAACTAAGTTACATCAGGATTTAATTGCAAAACATTCAAATATGCCAAATATGGGCATTGAATGTAAAATTATTGCATGAAAACAATAATCACAACACAAATTCCAATTCACTGATTCGGAATCACAACCGGTCCAATGAATATTTTTTTTAAGATCTTATTAGAACGAATAATGGCCTTTTGTCACTGATTTTGTTAATAACTTTTATGGACAGAATTTCTAGGCGCAGCCAAGGTATTAATGGGGTCTTTTTTGGTGGCCTTAGGATCACATCTGCTATTTGCGGATGACGTAGTTCTGTTGGCTTCATCAGGGAGTGATCTACGGCTCTCACTCGAACAGTTCACAGCAAAGTGTGAAGCAGCGGGGATGAGGATCAGTGCCTCCAAATCAGAGACCAAGGTCTTGAGCCGGAAAAGGGTAGAGTGCCTTCTCTGGGGTGGTGGAGGATGTACTACCCCTAATGGCAATGTTCCAGTCAGTTGTGGAAAAGAGAGAGCTGAGCCAAAAGGCAAAGCTCTGGATTTACCGGTCGATCTACGTTTCTACTCTCAGTTATGGTCATGAGCTTTGGGTCATGACTGAAAGAATGAGATCCCGGATACAAGCGGCTGAAATGAGTTTTCTCTGTAATGTGTCTGGGCTCTCCCTTAGAGATAGGGTGAGGAGCTCAGTCATCCTGGGAGGACTCAGAGTAGAGCCACTGCTCCTCCACATCGAGAGGAACCAGTTGAGGTGGCTCTAGCATCTTGTTAGGATGCCTCCTGGATGTCTCCCTGGTGAGGCGTTCCCGGCCAGCCCACCGGGAAGAGACCCAGGTGGAGACCCAGGACAGGCTGGAGGGACTAAGCTTCTCAGCTGGCCTGGGAGAACCTTGGGATTCCCCCAGAGGAGCCTTATCCAAGTGGCTGGGGAAAGGAACATCTGGGCCTCCCTCCTGAAGGGATGGATGGATGCATGGATGGACAGATGAATGGATGAAATTAAGTAAAACACAAAGAATGAAAGATATCAAATGAGAACTCTTCCAGTTATGCGATGCAGCTCAGGGGAGAATCTCTTCCATTTGAACAACAATCAGAAGCTCAGCAGATGAAGACTCTTAATTAGGTTTGAAAGGTAAAGAACTTACTTTTAAGGTACTCCAGCAGGCTTCCATTCTTCATCAGCTCCGTGATGATGTAGATGGGTTCCTCCAAGGTGCACACAGCGTACAGCTGGATCAGCTTAGGGTGCCGCAGCTTCTTCATTAGCTGAGCCTCTCCCAGGAATTCTGCAGCGTCCATTGTACCTGAAAGAGAGTTCTGGTTTTATTCCAAATTGTTCTATTCTATTGTACTTTGACACAGTAAGCCATAAAACTAATCACAGATGACGTCATACACACTCTGCTTTATTTTAAAATAATATAAACAATATAACCGCGGATGTCTGGGGGATGTCTGGGGGGCAGTGATTCGCCTACATGCCTACATGTACCGAATATCTTCAGAACAGCTCCAAATGACACAAAACTAATATGGGTGAGTAGATCATGATGTAATAACGTAAAATCAAGGGGCCAATGTACAAAAAAAAAAACGGTGTTCCCCTTTAATTGTTTAGGTATTCAATTATTGTTAAGTTCAGTTATTGCCAGCCATCTTGTTTTTTGCTTGGCCAAATCACTATATACGTTTCCCTCATGTGTCATTGTGTTGTCGTAGGTCAGTTTTCCTCAGTTAAGGTTGCTTTGTTTCTCAAGTGAAATTTTGAATATCGTTATTCATTTCACCTCTTTTTTATGCCAACTGATTTAAGCATTCTTGTGGCAAGGCTTTGGGGGTGGACGAGATCCGTCCTGAGTATCTTAGAGCTTTGGATGTTGTCGGGCTGTCATGGTTGACACGTCTCTTCAACAACGCGTGGAGGTCGGGGACAGTTCCCCTGGATTGGCAGACTGGGGTGGTGGTTCCCCTCCACAAGAAGGGGGACCGGAGGGTGTGTCCAAACTATCGGGGAATCACACTTCTCAGCCTCCCCGGAAAGGCCTATGCCAGGGTGCTGGAGAGGAGAGTCCGGCTGATTGTCGAACCTCGGCTGCAGGAGGAGCAGTGTGGTTTTCGTCCTGGCCGTGGAACAGTGGATCAGCTCTACACCCTCTGAAGGGTGCTTGAGGGTTCATGGGAGTTTGCCCAACCAGTCCACATGTGTTTTGTGGACTTGGAGAAGGCATTCGACCGTGTCCCTCGTACTGCCCTGGGTGGGGTGCTCCAGGAGTATGGAGTCGGGGGCCCTTTATTAGGGGCCATCCGTTCTCTGTACAAGCGGAGCAGGAGTCTGGTTCGCATTGCCGGCATTAAGTCGGACCTGTTCCCGGTGCATGTTGGACTCCGACAGGGCTGCCCTCTGTCACCGGTCCTGTTCATAACTTTTATGGACAGGATTTCTAGGCGCAGCCAAGGACCGGAGGGGGTCTGGTTTGGGGAACAGCGGATCTCGTCCCCGCTCTTTGCGGATGACGTAGTTCTGCTGGCTCCCTCCTGCCAAGACCTACAGCGTGCGCTGGGGCGGTTCGCAGCAGAGTGTGAAGCGGCCGGGATTAGAATCAGCTCCTCCAAGTCCGAGGTCATGGTTCTCGACCGGAAACAGGTGGCTTGTCCCCTTCAGGTTGGAGGAGAGTCCTTGCCTCAAGTGGAGGAGTTCAAGTATCTTGGGGTCCTGTTCACGAGTGAGGGAAGAATGGAGCGGGAGATTGATAGACGGATCGGTGCGGCTGCTGCAATAATGCGGACGCTGCACCGGTCTGTCGTGGTGAAGAGAGAGCTGAGCGAAAAGGCAAAGCTCTCAATTTACCGGTCGGTCTACGTTCCTACCCTCACCTATGGTCATGAAATCTGGATCATGACCGAAAGAACGAGATCCCGGATACAAGCGGCTGAAATGAGCTTCCTCCGCAGGGTGGCTGGGCTCTCCCTTAGAGATAGGGCGAGGAGCTCTGTCATTCGGGAGAGGGTCAGTGTAGAGCCGGTTCTCCTCCACATCGAGAGGAGTCAGTTGAGGTGGCTCGGACATCTTCTTTGGATGCCCCCTGGACGCCTCTCTCGGGAGGTATTCCAGGCACGTCCCACCAGGAGGAGGCCCAGGGGACGACCCAGGACACGCGGGAGAGACTATGTCTCTCGGCTGGCCTGGGAGCGCCTAGGGCTTCCCCCAACGGACCTGGAGGAGGTGTCTGCGGAGAGGGAATCTGGGAGTCTCTGCTTAGTCTGCTGCCCCCGCAACCCGGTTCCGGATAAAGCGGGAGACTACGAGTACGAGTGGATATTGTTCGTTTTTGAGTCAATAAAGCTCAGATGTTTTAAATCAACTCCTGTGTCTCTTATTGACTTTCTGCTTGGTCCCTAAAATGGAGGGATTAAATGACCAGACCAGACCCTTTAGAACACAATTAGGAACATACAGATCAGGCCTTAAATTAATCTATTCAAGTTCTATTTGATCCTCTTCTACATGTGGGCCTGAATCTGACCCTTTAGATTTTGGTAGAAACAACTGGGCAGGATTAATGAGACTTGGATATCGGCATCTGGCACAACTCAGCCTATGTTGTAGTTGCTGTCAGTCTTGCTAAATGTTTTCACTTTTTACTTATGCAAAGTTCACACAGCAGCTTTAAGTGACCCAAATCCGTTTTTTTTGCCCATATGCGACCTGTATCTGATATTTTCATGGCAGTCTTAGCAACACAGATCTGATTTTTTTCAAATACGATCCAGGCCACTTGGCTTTGTGGTCCTAAATCCGGCCGTGTCTGAACGGCCAGGTCCCCCACATCGGACCTGAACGACATTAATACTCAACAAAGGTCACTATTCAGGGTTTTGCTACTCAGGAGCGGCAAGAAAAACAACCATGATGATGCGGAGAGTGTTCTTTTTTTATTTTTTTTATTTTAACCATCTTGAAAAGATTGAGTTTCTAAAGTTGGGTAAGATCGCTAGATGTGTTCCAGCAAAACCCTCCATGTTTACTTCCTTAAACACAGAGCGTCATCGTGTCCTCTAGTGCGCATGCAGGACACTTCAGCTCACATACAAGTTGCGTATATTCGGGGGGAAAAAATCATATTCCACATAAAAATTGGAATTGAGCATTAAGACCTGCAGTTGGATCATTGGCCAAGTTTGTATCGAACCCTCCACCCCTCAGTTTAAACTGTCATAAGCCCAGAAAAAAAAAAAAAATATTATCCAATATTATTGATGAAATTGAAAATCATTAAGCTAGAAAATGATCCAAAAATCACATGAATGATTATTTGCCCATACCAGCTTTGAGTGTCTTCACTGCGACTGGCGTAGTGTCGTTCCACACCCCCTCAAAGACTTCTCCAAACTGTCCGGCTCCAAGCCTCTTCTGGAGTTTAAGAGATTTGCGATCAATCTCCCACTGATCTACTGTGTTGTAGGACAGACCATAGGTCTGTGGAGCCTCCATCTGCACAACATAAAAATTAACAATGAAATAAAAAGAAAAAGTGATCAGGGTACATGTTCCTGCATGCTACAGTTTACCTTTCTGCATGGCTCCCCCAGACAGACACACAGCCCATCAGGCTGTCTAGAGTAATATTCCACCAACTCCTTCAGTGTTGGGAAGGACTTGTTCTTAGAAACAAAGTAGTTACCATCCTGTTTCTGGAGCTTGTAATGTTTTACCCTCCCTTGGTGCAAAACTGGAAAGAGAAAACAAGAACATTTTAATTATTTTCTAATACAAACTTCAGATCTTTCGAAAAAGCTTTTTCCTCAAAATTAGGAAAATATATCACAAAATATGTCTTTTTACTGATAATTTAAGTCATGGACTTATTACTGGTTCTTTAGTTATTGCAGCTATGAGCTTACAGTGTGATCTTTGTAGTTCATGTAATAGAGTTATGGCTGTACGCAGGTTTCTAGCAAGAGGCTGAATGGTACTGCAAGTCTGACTGACAGTTCAGTTATTTCATGGTCATCCCTGAAATACCTAGTCCGGAAAAATTGTTTACCGCTGTATAAGAGGACCCTTTGTGAAGCAAGAGCATCATATTTCTCCTCATTAGTAGAGGAGAATGAGAATAATCCTGGATTTCTTTTTAATACAGTTGCCAAACTCACCCAGAGCTATGGCTCTGGGTGAGTTTGGCAACCGGCCGGAATGGCAACCGGCCATTCCACCTGCTTTTAGCAGCAATGATTTTATGGGATTCTTTATAAATAAGATTGATTCTATTAAAAATAAGTTAATTAGCACTCCTCTATCCTGTGCAATATGCCGACTGTGCAATATATGTGAATATAATAGTCATACCACTACCTCACCGTTGCTCCTCACCTACTACACTTTATTGTAAAAGTAAATCCACATGTATATAAGATTGTACATATGTCACCTCACATCTCTGTGCTACTCCCTTGTATTTTATATATTTTTTTATTTTATTTTTTATTTATTTTATTTTTATTTGTATTTGTATTTATTTATTTTATTTCTTATTTTTTATTTTGGTTTTCATTGTGTGTGATGCATGTACACTTGCACCTTAATCCTATTATATCCTATATATATATATTGTTTATTCTTAATGCACCTTTTTGCTCCTTGTTTGCACCTTCTTTAATTACTATGCCAATATGTGACCAGTGAATTTCTCCGCTGTGAGATCAATAAAGCTCATCTAATCTAATCTAATTTAATCTAAGATTGCTTTATCTCCTGAAGGCCTCAGCATCTGAGGTAACTATAGAAACTGAAATGGGTTTGGACTGCTTTCATCCAGTTGAACTTTCAGAGTTAGCATCTAAGCATCCAAGCCTTCAACTTGTATGTTAGATCCAGTTCCAACCAGGAACTGTAGTTATTTAAGGAGGTATTCTCTGTGATCTCATCCTCCATTTTAGATTTGATTAACCCATCTCTGTTACAGGGATATGTACCCCAGGCTTATAAGGTAGCTGTAACAACACCTTTATTTAAATGTTGTAATTTAGAATCCACATTAATATGCAAATAAATAAACGGAGAGATTTATTTTTCCTTTTAAGAAACCGTCTCTTGACCCAGATGACTTGGTAAATTATAGACCTGTATCCAATCTTCCTTTCTTATCCAAAATTCTTGAGAAAGTAGTTGCCAAACAAGTGTGCGATCACTTGCACCATAATGAACTTTTTGAAGAGTTTCAGTCTGGCTTTAGAGCTCATCATAGCACTGAAACAGCTCTGGTGAAAGTCACTAATGATATTCTCATGGCCTCAGATAATGGACTTGTATCTGTGCTCGTCCTGTTGGATCTTAGTGCTGCATTTGATAAAGTTGATCCTAATATTCTTTTAGAAAGACTTGAATATTTTGTTGGAATTAAAGGAACAGCACTAGACTGGTTTAAATCTTATCTATCTGATCGAATTCAGTTTGTTCATGTTAATGATAGATCTTCAACACGCTCAAAGGTTACCTGTGGAGTACCACAGGGATCAGTGCTAGGACCAATTCTCTTTACTTTATACATGCTCCCAATTGGTAGAATTATTAGACAGCATGGGATTAATTTCCACTGTTATGCTGATGATACCCAGCTATATCTGTCTATAAATCCAGATGAAGCTAACCCATTACATAGATTACAGGCATGTCTGAAGACATAAAAACCTGGATGACTCTTTACTTTCTCCTTTTGAATGCAGACAAAACAGAAGTTATAGTCTTTGGACCAGAGTCTTTGAAAAATAAGCTGATTAGTAAATCACTTCATTTGGATGAGATTAAATTGATCTCAGAAAATAAAGTAAAAAATCTTGGTTTTTGTTTTCAACCCCAGTCGGCCTCAGCAGATGGCTGCTAGAGGTTTCTTCCAGTTAAAAGGGAGTTTTTCCTCTACACTGTCGCTATAAGCATGCTTGGTGTGAGGGATTGCTGAAGAATCAATGAGTCGATTGGAATCAGCTGGCTTCCTTAGATAGAAAATTTTAAACCAATCAGACTGTATAATCTGACTGAATCTGAATTGTCTCTGTAAAGGGCCTTGAGATGACTTGTTGTGAATTGGCAATATATGAATAAACTGAAGTGAAATCCTCTGTAAAGAGAGTCTCTCTGTAAGGGACTGTCACTGAACCACCAAGGACAAATAAATAAAAGAGCCTAACTCCAAAAGCTGCTTGCTAAAGTAATTGCTGGACATTTATTTGCTAAACCGAAACAACACAGTCTTTCACATCTGAGAAGTAAAAGAATAAATAAAAAAAGAAACAGCAACATCAGTGTGGTACTTCTCTACATTTCCTTATTGCTCAGCATAAATCCTGGTTTCAGGTTGATGACATTTTATAATCAGATTTTTATGTTCGAGGTGTCAGGAAATGATGTACTTCCTCATATGGGAAACATAAAAACAACATCTGTACACATTGAACTTCTATCTGTAATTAAGACCAATTCCAAGCACTCATTACTGTAGGTTTGGCCCATCCCTCTTCCAGGCAGAATGACCCACTCACTCACTTTGCTGACTGTAGCTCATGCTTTATCTGCCCTTTATGAGCAACGCTGATTATGTGGTTCCTCCAGCTCAGACCGGAGCAGTTTAACACCAAACTAATAAACTAGACTGGCATTAGCTCTTTACGCCTGGGACTGTGGTCCAGGATCTCTCGGATCTGCTGTTTTTACCACTTAGAACATTCAAATACTGGTTAGGAAACCTTACAACACAAAACAAAAAGGTCATTACTACAAAATGAAAAATTTGCCGTTATTTGGGGGGGATGTGCGATGCCGTCCAGGCCCACCATTGAAGGCAGTGTTTAGACTACTGATGAAGATGGGCATTAGATCAGGGGGCCTTTTTGTGGCTCCTCTCAGACCCGATACTGAATCAATCCTGGGGCATCTTATCTTGCTAATCTTTTTATAATTAAAGGAAATTTGATCATAAATGCAGAAATACAACCTATCTCTGGCTATTAAACAAAAAAGGACAAACAGAGACATCTATCAAGTTTCCAGAAATGCAGCCAGCCGCATGGTGCACCACTAACATCAGCGATGCATTAAATGACCTGTGTTCCGGTCAAGTCAATGAGTCGATGCAATCAGCTGGTTTTCCATAAGCCCGTCACACCTTGACGAATAAAAAGCTGGCAAAAACGCTGGCATACGTTTGATATGTTATGGGTACGTTTCGTATAACTTAGGAGCACGCTGAAGGACACTGCCACACTTCAACATATGGCAAGTACGTTGAGAAGTATGCCAGCATATGCTAATACGTGGGGCATAAGTTCCAGGTCAGTTATCTGATGGTGGACCTACGTTCAGTGTCAGTTACTCATCAGTCGTGGCGTCTAGCTTATCCAAAACCTCTGAATAACTTATGCATAACTTCTGCGCATCTTATCCAGAACTTCAATGCATATCAACGCATCTGACGTGTTCCAGACGAGCACTGAACGCATTTCTAACTTCCAGCTACTAGGGTTGTCACGATACTAAACTTCAACTCGATACAGATACCGGGGAAAATATTCGATACTCGATACCAATTTCGATACCACAAGGATAAAAACAAAGACTCCAAAATTCTACAGAAATATTTACATTAATAAATAAAATACAATAAATAAACACAATAAAGGTTGTATGCTGTGCACAATATTAAGCAAGCTTGATAAAAAACTTTAACTCTGACCCTTAAAATTAAGTGTTCCTTCCTTGGCTATGCTTTGCACACATAGCAATGACACTAGCCAAACTGGTTAAGAAACTAAAATAATTCTCAGCAGCTGCACCTGTTACAAAAAAAAAAAAGTCTGAAACTGAAAAGAGCACAGAATTATTCAATCACACAGTGTTCTGGAAGTGCATTTTCCTCTTCTGCACTTTAGATGAATGACTGCTTAGGTGCCACTGGTGGTGGCACTGTATCAATACTTTTAAAAACGAGTATTGTATCCAGATACAACGTTTCAGTATCGATACTTTTTTGAGTATCGATACTTTTGACAACCCTACCAGCTACTGTATCATGGCGTATTGGCAGCGTTTTGGTATAAAGGGGGTTCAAAGGAGGAGCTCCTGACAAACTTCCTAGCAGACTTGATGCTTCTTATACCATCTTTTTATGCAGGCTTGGCGCCTCTGGGCGCATCGTTGCACCCCTCAAAACACTGGCTTGTGCATCATTTCATGGGCATCACGCTGTCGTGTGTTATGCAAAAGTTAGGCTGTCATTGGACACAAGTGCTGGACTCGTTATGAATACTCTTATTTATATACCCAAAATTGGGGAACAAAAAAAAAAAAACAAAAAAAAAAACATAGCAAGACTGGCTAAATCGTTAAGGTGTGACAGGGATTGTAGATGGAAAACTTTGACCCCATCTGGCTGGATGATGGGGTTGGATTGTTTCTGTAAAATGAGTTGTGAATTGGTGCTATTTAAATAAAACTGAATTGAATATAATCTACAGTAGCAGCCATTCAAAATCCCAGTCAAATGGTGGCCTACTCCCCTGCGACTCCCAGCTAAATCCCCTCTAACTTCCAGTCACTGGCCTTCTCCTGGGCGTGCATATTTTTTTTACCGACTCCACCCTTTCACTGAATTACAGGGTCTGACCAGGAGATGATGCTACTCTTTAGATCTTAATGTCCACAAATCATGAAAGAATATATTTGTACAAAGATTGATGTTTAAAAAGGATTTGTAGGGGACCAGCGAAGGGCCCATCAAGGAAAGTGGGGAAATTTTGAATGGCTAGTACTGTACATCCAGATTAAATGATGCCTATTAATCCAAGTATCGATAAATATTTCTCTTTAAACCTGTGATTGGTACAAGCTCATTGGAGCAATATTGTTTTGCCAGAAAAAAATGCTTAAAAGTTTAATCCCTTAACTTAAGTTTGGGGTAAATCCTGGTCTTAAAGTCAGCTGATAACGGGATGTGACCATCTCGAATAGAGAGTCAGAATTATGATTTCTACAACCATCACCAGGTTGGTTCTTTAACGAAACGTATGGAAATGGCAAGAAGGCCCAGTGATGGTGGCTTATTCTAAAAACAGTTCAATTAGCTACATTTCTGGTGTGGTTGTCCTATATTGTTTATTCTTCCTGGAACCTCTTTAAGGCTTTTCTTTTCATGTCAGGAGCAGCTTGCATGCACTGCAGCATGAATGCATTGGTATGTTCTCAGTAAAGTTCTGCATTTAATAGATGACAGGCTAACAGCTAGCAGCAGTCATGGGTGTCTTTGATGACACTAAGCTCTTTGAAGAGAAGACTACGTTTGGAAGTTATTTCAGTGAAATGCCAGAGAGTTTTCTGTTGCTCATTTGCCTGTAAGCTCAAAATGAGGTGGTGATGTTTATTACAGGTAGCTCTGATCCATCCATTCAGGACTTAAAATGCTCTGTGTGAAAGATAATGGCCAACACTGCCCACTTTATCAGGATAAATGAGGAAGGATGTTACCGCGAGGTCTGAAGAGGCCGAGAGGGGAGGTGTTTTGGAGATATTCCCCCAGGGACAGGGTTCCAACAGCAGTTACCATAAGTGTTTTAAAATAATACTCCTATATTCATACTTAAAAAGACTAAAAGCCTAAATGGGCAAAAAAGAAAAAAAAAATCAGCAGGTTTTAATCTGTTTTTTTTTTTTTATTTAAAAATGTTTAAATGACATCAATAATCAAATAATGAAAGTACCGTAAAAGAATTACTGTCTTTGCCTACTTTTGATAAGGGACCATGAAACAAACCGAGTGCTAGAAATGAACAAGGTCAAACCGCAATGAAAGATTAGACACACCAAGATAAAGCTTTCAATCAGCTTTTACAGGAACTTCTATTTATTCACCTTGATAAAATTCCCACCATCAGTCACTGGCAGCAGTTTAACTGGCTGAACATAGCTGGGATTGTTGGGGGATGTGTGTTTTAGGACAAAGAAAGTAGTGTGTGGCTTACTGAGGACCAGGGTCTTCTGGTTGAATCACATAGAAATATTTCCTTTATGCTTTTTTTTGTGATTGTTTACCTGAGAGAGAGAGCTCCCCTTTCAGACTTTCAGAGTTTCTGACAAGGAATGCACCTTCCGCATTCCCTTCTGCTAGCAGCAACTTCTCTGCATCCTGCCGCTTGGTGTCTGGGAAATACCATCTAGAAGAGGGTTAGGGAAAAGAAAAAAGAAAAAACTGTGAGAGTCAATTAAAATTTGACTTTTTTCTAAAAGACAAAAAAAAAAAAAAACTAATTAATTGATTTTTAGCCTATCAATTTATCCTGGTTTGGATTTTTGGCAGATAGTTTGGTGGTTTATTAATCTGGAGTTCCTCAAGGCTGCATTCTCAGGCCACTTTCGTTTAAATCCATTCAGATCAAGATTAGGTCTGATATTTGAACATTTGGTAATTATTTTATTATCAGTATGCTGTAACATCTTTTTAAAGGAGAAGTCCGGTCATATTCAGAATTCTGAAACTTCAGAAAGGTGAAATAACTCTTTTTTTTCCACTTTTACCCGATGTATTCCAGCATCCAGCTGCCATGCACGTGGGCATTGTCAGTTTCACTATAGCTCTGGTGAATTTCAATGGTGAAGTCCTCTGGAAATCTTCAATCATTGTTGTTGATTGCAGATGTGTCTAGTAGTTCCCATTGATTTAGCTTGTAAAGCGGGGAGAATGGCGCTAGGCTTACCGCACCGTGACGTCACTGCTGGAAGATGGCAGGAGGGAGGGGTTACTATATTTGGGCAAAAATGGCCGCTCCCAGACTCAGTGATCATGATGAAAATTATAATTATAATTTTTTTACTGATTAGCCAACATATTAGTTTTAGTTATAAAAAATGATCCATTGATCATTCCTTGGTGAACAGACTTTTCCTTTAAAAGCACAATTCAGACACAGTTGTGGAATTGAATTGAATTTGAACTTCTTGGGGTATTACTGAGACTATTCCTGGTCGGCCTCTCTTCTTGGCTTCCTTTTTGCAGCCTACTGCTCTTTTGTCAACATAAAACACCAAATGCTGCACAATCCTGGCAACTCTCATCTGATTGGCTCAGAAACCAGGAAGTAAACACGAGCCACACACTGAACAGAAGCAGTTCTGCGCCGTGTTTCTAGGTTCTAAAAAAAATAACTTCACTAATATGTTCCTCGTGGTTAGGACTGATTGTTTATTGGGAATGAATCGCACAAAGGAATATTCAAGTTTTGGTGTTAACAGCAGCAAAAAGATTATAGAAAAACGGTCACAAATATGGACCTTAGAAATTTTTTTTAGAATAAAATAGTGAAGAGTTAAAAGATAAACAATGAAATACTGTACTCTAAAGTGTTTTAACAATATAAAAACTGTGCATCTGGAGTATATAACATTTATGCATTAAAAATAGCAACATATTGCAAAGAAAACTATTTATCAGCAGGGATGAACTTTTAGTTTGTTCAAAGCAATGAAGTTTATGAAGTCCAACAACCACTAAGAGAGAAAGATCTGCGATAACACACGTGGAGCATACTGCTAATAGTTTCCAGTTTAAGACTCCTCTATTTCCTGGAATGAATTACTACTTTACAGGTGAGTCAGCAGCAAACATTTCCAATAGAAACCTATAAAACAGCTATGGGTTGGGACAGGTAATGGTGACTCTCAATAGTGCAACAAACACATTTTTTGTTTAGGTTTTTACACTACTGGATTAAAATTTAACTGTTGACTCTTTGAGTAACATCCCAGTGAAAACAAAAATCTTTTAACAAAAGGCTGTCAAGCATCTGGAAACATCAGGACCGTGGCTAAACTGTTAAGACTTGTATCAACTAATGTCTGATCTTAAATTATGAGCTTGTAATTATGGCATACAGCAAATGATGTTTGTCTGCTTCTGTCTCCTTGAACCCCAGTCGGCCTCAGCAGATGGCTGCTCACACTGAGCCTGGTTCTGCTGGAGGTTTCTTCCTGTTAAAACGGAGTTTTTCCTCTCCACTGTCACTACAAGCATGCTTAGTGTGAGGGATTGCCTTCAAATCAATGAATCGATGCAATCAACTGGTTTTCTTTAAATAGAAAACTTTGAATCAATCTGACCCGTTGAACTGGTGAACTGTAAAGTGCCTTGAGATGACATGTGTTGTGAATTGGCCCTATAGAAATAAACTGAATAGAATAGTCTCCATTGCTACATGGATGCTATTGCTGGTGTGACGGATTGCTTCAAAGCCAACCACACTATGCAAGCTGCTGCTACATATTTCACTATGCAAGTTAGTGACTGGGTAGAATCAGCTGCATTTCCTTAAATAGAACATTTTTAACCCAATCTCTATCATTTGCTTTAACCGACTTAAGTGTTTTGAAATTATGTGCAGCGAACTGGTTTATATAAATAAACTAGGGGAGCAATTTATTGATTAATGAATTTATCTGCAGCTGATTAATCATATTTGACCAACTTATAATTGATAAGCAGCTATTTTCTACAAAAAAAAGAGAGTTTTTGTCTTGTGTCCAGAGGATCTGTCCTATCTGAAGGGAAGGGGTTTCCCTTAAAACTTCCAAAGGGGTGGACCCCTTCGTCTGTTTCAATTTGCATGCCTTCCAAGCCAAAACAATGCTTTGTTGGGCTACTGTATAAAACCTGAAACTAAACACCAATTCTGACATTTTGAATTGAAAAAGCTTCTTGGATGAGAAGCAAAATGTCTTCAAACTTTGAAACAAAGGGATTGCTTTTTGTTTTTTACATTTTTGAAACAGTGAATCTCTGCTTATGAATGAACTGCTGCACCCTCTAGTGAAAAAAACAACAACTATTGGAAGCAAAAGGAATAACTGCTGCTCTAGAAGGAATATGAAAGAACAAGCATCCAGGAGTTTTTTTGCCTTGTGTTTGGTGGGGAAGGGTTTGGGATGATGATCTGCATCACACTTGTAAACATATTTGCACTACATGGTGAATATTTAAATCCCTTTAAATAAAGTTCATCTCAGTGTTTTCTACTGCATTTTTCACCACATTTATTCATTTCATTGCAGTTCTTTGAACCTTCCATATCAATGCCTTTTGCACCATGACGTTAAACAGGTTTTCCTTTTCTCCTACATTGTTAACATTCTGATCACTGCTGCACTTTAAAAATGGAAATGTTAATTTCACTGCTGTGAGAAAATTAGTCTAAGGAGGGAGGTGTCTGAAACTAAAATCATGGCTTCAACAGGGATCTAACTGGAGGTACCGATTTCATTGCTCCCATCCATTGTTGTAAGGTCAAATAGGTTTGACCTTACAACAACAGGATATGGGAAAGAATATGAACTATGAAACAAAGTCATATGGGGTAAAACGCTGTGTTTTCAGACATTTTGTGAAATAATCATCCCCAATGGAGGAGCACAGACCAACTGCGCCCCCTCAGCCGGGAAAGAAACAGAATGTCTGCATATTTCCTTCTTCAACAGGAGAAACTAGAACTCTTCCACTGAGTTTTAAAATGTTGCTGGTGGTATTTGACACAGTTAATGAAATGATGCTTGTGTGGAACTTGGAATGTGTGTGTTTTTACATCCTGCTGCAAGGCTTGAATGATGACAGGTCTCGTTATTATTTAAAGCTTTGTAAATGACAAGAGACCTAGCTGAGAATGAGAAAAATCTGCATTTTCCTTCCAGTCACAGAGCCCGGGGCTGACATACAGTAGCAGCCATTCAAAATGCAGAATGGCAGCAAAATCCCCTCCATCTTCCAGCTTCTGCAGTGACCCCCTCTTGCATATTCCTTTCACTGAATTACAGGGTCTGACCATTAGATGATGCTTCTCTTTAGATCTTAATGTCCACAAATCATGACAGAAATAATATTTTAGTACAAATATTGATGTTTAAAAGGAATTGTAGGGAACCAGCCAAGGAAAGTGGGGACATTTTGAATGGCTGCTACTGTATAAACCACCTATGCAGGTGTTTCTTTTTGTGATGCTCTAAAGCAAGTTTCTTCATGTCTGTTAGCCATAAGTATTTAGGTTTACAACATAGTTTATTTATTTGTTCTCTTTAAAAAGATTTTACTGATCGCCAGCTTTCATATGCACATCCTTCAGATATGGATCTGATGTATTATTTATGGTGAATAATGGTACTTTGTGAAACTTTAAGGTAAAATAAGCAGCTTGTTAGCCTAGAAATTCTCTCAAACACTTCCATCCATTTATTGTGTGCATCCATTATTAGCTTCCTGCTGCCATTTTAACAGTTCCTACCTCTCAAGAATAATATCACATGGTATTAAGAATCTAAACCTATTAAGAATGATTGGACATCAACACTTTGAGATTTTGGTTTAATTAAAATAATGTTTTATCCAATATCTATTAGGGGTGGAATGATTCACAAAATCCACGGTTCGGTTCGATTCACGGTTTCTGGTCACGGTTTTCGGTTCGATTCGATACATGTTGATTGTTACACCGAAATCCCATAAATATTTATGAAATTAATGAAAAAATCCCCCCAAAAATAATGGATTGTAATTATTTTAAATGATCCGCAGAAACCCTGGATCATTTCCGTATCTTTTGCTGCTTTGAATTTAATCATCTGGCGCATGCCCTCTACCATCTCCAAGGAACTCAGAGGGGAGCGGACGGGAGCCACAGCGGGGGCTGTAGGCTTTGCTTTGAGCAGCCGGTCTGGAGCGCAGCGGGGCGGAGCGGGGGTTACTGACGGAGTATGTGGGATTTCGGGGTTAGCATGACATGTTGCTGTTAGCATAAACAAAACGTGTTGCACAATGCTTGCACACTGTTCCACAACTTTCTTTCCGCTGTCATCGTAGGTCACTCTAAATGCAAAGTGGTCCCATACAGCAGACCTATAAAGTGCTGCTGGCGCGTCTTCCAACTATGGTTCTTTCCCACTCCCCAGTCCGACACAATTCTCCACAACAACAGATTTTTTTCCCCTGCTACACCCGGCTACGCTGCTTCGCTTCTTTTTCTTCTTGTTTACTACTGGCGGTTGGCTTTGGTCGCAGTACCGCCACCTTCTGCTCTGGAGTGTAATCACTTCCTCTATGAGAAAAAGGAGCAGCGCATGAACCGAACGAAACACACGCGAACCGAACCGAGACAGTCGAACCGAACGATTCTGACGG